AGTGCTAGGGCGATATTTAGATGAAAGGAACTGTTTTTAGTTTATTTTATTTTTGTGATTAAAGTCGAGAATTGAATAGAATTTTTTGTTTTGAGATTGGAATTAAAAGAATTCGAGGGAAAAGTTTTACTAGAAATGGGTATAATTAGTATTTTTCAGAGATTGTGGTTAGCCTTTTTGGCAAGTTGGGGTTTCCGGAAATATTAAGTACTAACAATGGATTTAAAAACATTTCTTCTATTGAATTCTAAAAATTATTTAAAAATAATTAAACCTCCTAGAACCTCCTAGGAACATTACTTTAAAGATTATTACTGTTGGGATTGTTATGTCTAATCTAGTCATTATTATAATTAGTGTAATTATCAGTTTCTGGGCACTATAGTGCTATCTAAACTCCGAAAACTAAACAACACTAATGGATTTTTAAACCCATTTTAAACCCATTTATCTGCTTAAAAATAAATTACTGGATATTTCCAAAATATTTTTTATTGTTTTTTGTTTAAAAAACTTCCCGCCCATAAAAACAAAAAATGCTTTTTCATCCTTCTCACTTCCTTTCTATTCCTTCGGAGGTGAGAAAAAATAAATATTCATCATCTTCCTCCCATTTATTTTTCTTCCCAATTTTGCCTATTCATCATTTTTAATTTCCCTTTTTTTAATTCTCGGGCATTTTAAATATTTTTGCACTTTTTAATTTCAAAATATTTTCTCTGTTTTCATTATATGTACTTCCGAAAAAAAAGTTTATTTAAGTTGAATTATTATTGATAGGTATATTATCTCGTTTCTACTTCGCCTCTCGAGTACTACAATCTGAGACGTAGAAGGGGACAACGTTAACTATGCGAGACTACCTAGTTTAGTTAAAACCTTACGGGAACTTTTAAGTTTTATTTAATTATTCATTTTGAGAAATGATAGATTTACTTGAAGTTTGCAAAGAAAGAAATAAAAGCCTAAAAGTGTGTGACAAAATTAGGCAAAAATATTACCTATAAATTAGTTGACCGGAAATCAGGAAAATTACTTGACTAAAAAAGAAAAGAGGCTGATGTAAAATTTAATGTTAGATTAAGCGGGAGTGGCTATTGAAATTCGGACGTGAAATTGACGTTGATTAAATAAAAAAAGTTTCTGAACTAAATAGGAAAGTAATTATTTAAAAAGGTAAAAATTTAAAAAGTAGCATTGAAATTGACCCCTAATAAAAAACATATAGGGCTTGAAATGGTCAAAAATCATAAGGGGGGATAATTTCTAATAATTTCTTCTCTAAATAATTTTTTTAATAATTTAAAAATATTCTTTGAAATATTTTCTTTAAATTTCTTGTTACAAAAATAAAATTTTAACTACTGCGAGTTAATGCTAAAAATCTATTAAAATATGTATTTTGGTGCTTTTCCGTGGTACTTTTCCGCTCAAAATGTCATATATAGGGTAAAAAAATGAGCTTACTCCCCCTATGATTTTTGACCATTTCGAGCCCTATATCTCGGTATATCTCGGTCGACTCAGCACCTTTTTTATTAGGGGGAGGTGGAATAACGGAAAAGTACCAATATTTTTCAATTTTCTGCCAAAATTTTTTTTTAATTTTCTCTTCAACCCATCATTGATTTCTTCTTTTTTTAATGCCATTTGTGGGCTTTTGCTTTTCTCGGCCATCGGTCGGTTTGTGAAGGGAGGGAAGGGAAGTATTTGTGTATGTATTTTATTTTTGTGGTTGGCTGTGACTGGTACGGGGGAAGAAATAAAAATGTAAAGTAAAGAATGACCAAGGCCGGAGAGCAACGAGAATTGCTGCTATTTCCCAACAAAAATGTTGAGGGGTTAAAAATAACAGAGAGAGGATATAAAAACATTTTATATTTTGTTTGTTGGCTTAGAAAAAAAGGAAAGATAACGAAAAATGAGAGAGAAAAATAAAAAAATTGTTTTTAAATGTGTACTTAGTTGGTCATTCTTTAAAATACGTTTAGTTATTTATTTTGCGATTTAAAAAAATATTTTTTAAATAAAATTTTGTTAATATTCTCTCCTATTTTTAAATACTCTTGGATATATTTTGGATCCTTTATTCTTTCAGCTTTTTTGGATTTTTTTAATTGTTTTTATTCTAAAATTTTTATTTTTTATTTAAATTATGTACAACTTTCCTTATCTTCTTAATAATTTCACCTCTGTTTTGCTACTTTTCATTTTTCCTCATCTACTCAATACAAATAAAACCTCTTCTAATATTTTTTGTTTGCTAAAATTTTTAAAAAATAATTTTGTACAAAAAAATTGTGGCCAAATTCCATTTTGTAAAGATTCTTTATTTTCTTCTTTTATTTTGATACTTTTGTATTTGCAAAAGAAAATTAAATTTTTTAAATAATTAAAATTATTTTTTATTTCTCTTTCCACACAAAATTTTCCAAGCCCCAAAAAAAATTTTTTTTCCTTCAAAACACTTGCCATAGAAAATAAAGATAATAATAAAAGCTTCTTTCTTCTCTCTTCTCTTTTAGAGGTTCTCGTTGAAGGTCGTCTCGAGAGGCAAAAAAGAAGAAAAAAGGTTTTTGGGAAAAGACCTAAACAGAGAATTGAGTGACCTTCATAACAAAACACACAATCATTTGACCAAAAAGCTCCTCCCTCCCTCCCTCCTCCTCCCTCCTACTTTTTTTTAAATATCCTTCCTTCCTTCCATTATCCTTCCCTTCATTTCCCTTCCTTTTCTTCAATATATCTTTTAAATCAGACTGTGCAATTTATTTTTGCCTTTTTTCTTTTTTTTTATTTTTGAATGATCACAACTATGTAAAGCTGCGCAAGTCTTCCTTTCTTCTCTCCTTTTTTCCATCCATCCCCCAATAATCATCTTTTTCCTTCCACACAAAAATTATCGAATTTTTGTATTTTATTTGTCTGAAAGGATTTATTTTTAATGGATATATTTTCTCTAATATTTTTGTAAATTTTGCTTATATTAATTTTTTTAAAAATAAAAATAATCTTTCTTATCATTTTTATTTGCAAGATTTTTTATGCAAACTGTGATTTGAAAGAAATTTTCTTATACGTATGTACAATTGCCCTTACATTTATAAACTTTAATTTAAATAAATTTAATAAAAATTCATTAAAATTAAAAATATTTATTTATCCACACTTAACATCCTTCATTTTTTAAATTTTTACATAAATTAATCTAAAAATACATACTTATTATTAGGATGAGTCAAAAGTTCGCGTTCACTTTGATTTAAAAATCAAAACATAAATAGCAATATTATGATCTGTAATCAATCGGAAGCCTGATCAAAATCTAGTTTGACATGTTTGAGCGTTTTTCTCAAAAATCAAAATTCGTCAAGCTATTAGGGTTCTACGCAATTTCTACGCAATTTTATAGCCTAAAATCAAAAAACAGTACATAAACATTTTTTGACTCACCATAATAGAGATTACCGAGTATTAATTTTTAAATACTTTTAATTAATAATTATTTAAAATATTAAATTATTGACATTTTTATTTTAAATTAAAATTAAATATTTTATTTTAATTTTCTAAAAATTATTTTTTTATTCTCAGCATTTTTAAAAATATTTTATAATTTTTTTTTTCAACTTATATTTAAAATACAACACAATTTTCCCACTCAAATGCCAAAAATTATAATTTATTTTCTTTAATGGCTAAATTTTTAACAAAAACTGGTAATTAATTTAAGTAGAGATTTTGATTAATTAATTTAAATTAATTTTTAAAATAAGGTCTTCGATGTTAAATTTTTATCCTTTATAGGCATTTAAAAAATAAGGATATTTCCTTCTAGGTACATTAAATAGTACATATTTAGATTTCGTTATTTAGATTTACCTTATTTGATTAATTAACATAAATAGGAAAAAATTATTTTTCCAATTCTGGAATATTATACCTTAAAAAGATAATTAAATATGTTAAAAACTTTTTTTACCCTTTAAATGGAGAAATTTAGAAAATATATAGTTTTTTAAATCTTTTTAATTTTCCATTTTAAATAAAAATTTAATTTACAGAAGAGTCAGGCTTTGGCGATCCTTTGATTAACAACGATAACTTTGATATTTTAGATTACATAAACGGCGGAAACGAGTAAGAATTATATTTTCTTTAGATAAATTAAGGAAAGATACAAAATTTTAGACGGTTTGAGAATACTCAAAATATTTTTATTTCTGTACAAACCTTTTACACTGATTAAAAACATTTAAATTAAAGGGTTATTCTAACAGAATTATTATTTTAGAAATTTTAGAACACCAGAAGGAAGTCCAGTTAACGCCTTCTATAGTGTTGTAGTTCCAAACAATAATACAGTTGTTGGCAATTCTGGACATTTAAATTTTCTGAATCCTTCAACTACAGCAGCAGGGGAATTTGTTCAATCATTACAACAACAAGAACAACAAAATACTCACCAATTTTCTAAAGAAATAAATTCACCAAATTCTCAAAATATTCATTTTCGACATCCTTCAATTTTGTTAGATTCTGTTCAATCTTCAATGATTTTTTATAATAATAATGGAGGAGGGGGAATTAATAATAATTCTAATAGTAGACATTTAAATAATCAACAACAACACCAACATTATTTAAATAATCAAAGAAATATTGGGGGAAGAGTTGGGAATAATAATGGAGGGGGACAAACACGATTACCTGATAGCCCTCCAATTACTGATATTTCTGGTGGTGCAAGTTCTATTTCTCCAGGAAGTTCTGGTTTAGTTTTTTGTTGTTAAAAATATAAAGGCTGTCTTTAAGAAATATTTTATGAAAAATCCATCCCAAAATATTCTCAAATTTTTCATTATTAAATTATTGAGCTTCAATATTTTACCATTCAATAATTAAATAATTCCCCCTCTTTTTTTTAAAAAAAAGGTGGTTGTTGCGACTCAGAAAGTCCTTTCTCCCCTGATCAACGTTATCTACCAATAGCCCCACACATGAATAATGCAGCTAATATTTTATTACAACAACACCAACAATATCGTCAACACCTTCCCCAAAATTTTAATCGCCCTCAAACCCAAAGAAAACCTCCAGAAGATATTTTAATTGTCGACCAATTACACATGACAACAACAAACATTACAGATGTTTGTAGTGCAACTTCAGAAGTACATCATTTGTCCCCACAATCTGAATTTCTGACACATTATTCAGCATCTTCTCAACATACACCTGGTTCACAACATTCTTCACAGGTGCTTGCTTATATTATTAAGACATCTTATTTGTTAGTCATAGTTCAAATGAATTTTAAATTTATTTTAATTTTAAATATGAAAATTAACTTTCCCATTATTAGTGCTTCCTTTTTAACTCCCTTAATTCAGCCAAAACGTCTCTAATTATTAACAACATTAAGTAACCTACCTATATAGTTAGTTAAACAATAATCGTAAATTGCCTAATTTGGGTACAGCACAAGGGCGCAAAGCCATATAACTTGCTTCAAGATTTCCGATCTTACCACATTTAGTATTAAAGATTCCTCTCATCAAGCTAATGAGTTTGGTACCAGAATTGTTAAGGGCCAGAGATGTTCCAGCAAGTTATGGCTTTGCGCCTTCATGGCCGCGCGCCTACTTGGGCGTGTCCCGTCTACTTTATAGCTTTATATCTTAATTTCAATTATGAGAACATTTCCTTGTTTAATTCATCCTCTACCTTGTCCTTTACTATTTCAAAATGATTTTATCAAAATTCTTACAAACTTAAAGTTTTATTTTTCAGATTTCCCCACCAGCAATTCCAAATTCATCTTCACGTAATGGACAAATAATGATTAATAATAACAACAATAATAATTATTTATTACAACAACAACAACATTCTTTTTCTTCTTCAATGGATAATTTATGTATTATCGAAAATCAAAATTCAGCTTCATCTTCTAATCGTTATATACAAGAACAACAACAACAGCAACAGAACAATCGTGGAGGGGGACATAAAAGAAGAAGAATTTCGACTAATCAAAGGTGGAAATAGAGATTTTTTTGAGTTTTTAATATATTTTTGAGGGAATTTCCAATTAATCTGAAAAAGTTTAAGTAAATAAATGCCTTCCAAAATCTTAATATTCAAACATTAAACACCTTGATTTAATTCGAATATCTAAAATAAATCTAAACAATTACTAATTTTAGTTCAAATGATTCAATGTTGTTGAGTAAAAGCAATAATTTACCTAACATAAAATGTGAATATGGAACTGTTAATAACCAACAACAGGTAAATTGTTTTAAAACATTTTCTTAAATTTATTTGGAATTAAAAATATTCTTTTTTAATTATCAAATAATTTCTTTTAATTTAGGAGCATCAACAACGCCAAAATATTCTCCACCACCAACAACAACAACAACAAAGTTTTGAAGATTTGGAAGATAATAATTTTGGGGGAACACAGAGAACCATTAAAGTATTTTTTTATTAAAAAATAATTTTTAAAATTTTTAAATTTAAAGTTTGAACCATTTTTGAGAGAATCTTGGGCTACTTTATTTGATATTAACCAGCAACCACTTCCAATTATGCCAAGTTTGTATATTGAAATTTAAGTTGAATAACTTTTTCCCCTTTTTTCTAGTTGTTGTTGTAGCAGACAAAGGCTTTAATTTTAGCCCATCAGATAATTGTTTTGTTAATCAAAAGAAAAATCATTTTCAAATAACCGTTAATATCGGGGTTAATCCAATGGCTAATGCCAATTCTCCCCAAATGGGGAATGGACAACAAACGATTCAACACCAATTTGCACCTCATTATGTGCGGACAGAATTACATGGACGTGTTTTTTTGTTACCCATTGTTGATAAAGTAAAGAAATTATTTTTTAATAAAATCAGAATTCACTAAAAAAATACACCCTTATGGTCCAAAAATTTTTATTTTATAATGAGATTTATCTTTAATTGAGAGGTTTATCTAGTCAGCTTCTCCAGCCATTTTCCATAAACTTTAAAACGTATCCCAAAATAAAGTTGATTTAGTATTGGATGTATCTTATAGTGATGTTCGACTCTAAATATTATTCCTTATTTAATACTTTAATATTTTTACAGAAATTCTATTTATCTTTTTGTGGTGTTAAAAGTGATATGCAAACCTACGAGATTCCAATAAAACAATCGCAAACTGACAGAAAACCTATTGATCATATGCCTGTTTGGTAAAATTTTTTAAATTTTATAAAAAATTATTTAATGCTCTTACTTATCCCACACCTTCCTTTCAATCCCCATTCCATATCCCAAATCTTTAATTTATCTCGGCCGATATTTGGGATATCATAAAGATTGCTGTGACAAGTCCGAATGTCTACTTATAATTTAACAAATCTTTTAAAGTTTTGCAATTGATGGAACTCAAGATTCAGTAAAGCAAACAGTTCCTCGTCTTCATTTCTCAGAGACAACAATGAATAATCACCGAAAAAATGGAAAACCTAATCCTGAACAAAAATTCTTTTTACTTGTTATGGTGAATTAAATAATTTAAAATTAAACAAAAAAATAATTTTTACAGAAATTAAGTGTAGAAACAGCTATTGGAGATGAAACAAGGAAAGTACTTGTTCAATCATTTCATTCTGACAGAGTTATTGTTAGGGTAGGGGAATTTATTTTTGGAATTTTTATAGAAAATTTTAATTCAAAAATTCTTTCCAAAATTCTTTACTTTTAAAGGCCTCCAATCCGGGCCAGTTCGAACAGCCAGAATCAGACCAATCATGGAAAAACCAAAACGGTGCTTTAACCTTCTCCGGACCTGTTTGTATTGGAAGTGATAAACCAATTGGAGATGCTCAATTGACAGTTCATGGAAATATTGCTGCAAGCGGACAAATCACTCGGCCATCAGATAAACGTTTAAAAGAAGATATTGAAGAGATAAGTACTGCTGAGGCGATGGGGAGAGTTGCACAAATGAGACTTGTTGAATTTGCTTATAAACCAGAAATTGCTGCACGTTGGGGACTTTCTGAAAGGGATAGACACAGAGTTGGGGTTATAGCACAAGAATTGGCAGAAGTATTGCCTGAGGCAGTTAAGGATAATGGAGATTTTTTGACTGTTGATGATACGAGAATATTTTATGATACTGTGGCTGCTGCTCAGGAACTTTATCGTTTGACTGGTGTGTTTTCAAATTAAAATCTTTATCGGATGAATTTAGTCTCCATTCCAGGCGTTCTGGGGCGGTTTGGTATCTGTGTCGAAGTTTTAAATTTGTTTATAGGATAGAGGGGGGGGGGGCTTTGGGTTTGTTATGAGGTTTGGGCACGAAGCAAAAAAGTTAAGGATGTAAATTGATGATTTCTCTGTCTGACTTTAATTATTAACGCTGATCTTCATTCGATTAATAATTTTATAATTGCCATAATTTATAATTTTTTTAAATTATTATCCTTCCAGGCAATTTGGAATGTAAAATCGGCCAAGTTGAACGTATTTCTCATAAACTTGCTCAATATGCAAGAAAACGCCGCCAATTAGGTTCAATGGCTTCTGGATTAAGCGATTTCTCTTCTTTATTTCCTGGACAAAATTTTTCTTCAAAAAATCTCCAAAATACTTTTGAAGACAAAAGTCTTTCACAATCGAGAACTTCTTTAACTTCAGCAGCAACTGCTCCAGCTATTGCTTATAATGATGAAAATGAAGACGAAATTAAGGATAAATCATCAAAGAATAGATCAAGAAATAGTAAATTTTGTAGAAAAATATTTAAAATTATTCTCCAAATTTTTTAGGCTCAAGAAATGCCGGAAAACGTGATAAAAAGTCATCTCTTCCACCACCCCCATCTCCTCCTCGAAAACATCGTTGTCGTTCTCATTCTTCAGCTTCTGCTTATTGTGGAAGACAACAAGTTTATTGCCGCGGACAGGAAGCAGCTCTTTGCAATTCGAAATTTACTCAGGGAACTATTGTTACGTTGGTTGTAATTATGGCACTTTGGTAGGGATTTTTAAAGGCTTCAATTATTTTACAGTAATTGTCCGCAAAAATCATTTTTATTTTTGCGGACAAATTTTGCAGATTTTTGCTAAACTTTTATATTCTTTTCAGTTTGGTAACTATGTGTACTCTGTATGTCGTTGACTGGTATAATCGTACCTACTTGTCCCCCCACTTTCATCATTACCACCCTTATATGGGAGAAGGAACAGAAAAACAACAAAAACACCAAAAACCTACAGATTCTCAACCAATTCCTTCAGATATTGATAGACCCCCTCCACCAGGCAAAATGAGGGGTCTTTTAGATTCTGATTGGATACCACCTTTACAATCAAATATTTTACCTATTTCTTTGCAATATTGCTCAACAAATTTTGATAAAAACAATCCTTTTATTTCTGGTAATTTTACTGATTTAACTACAAATTATCAGTATATAGATAAAAAAAACTCGTTCTCTTTTGAAAGGCTCCAGCTAATGTCCATATTAGAATTCCGATATTTAATGATCCGTCCTCTAAATATGATTATCTACTATTTTTCAATTACTTCCATATTTAATGTTTAAGGGGGATGATGTGTTCCTTTAACAATTAAGATGTAGTTTTTGAACATCACCAGAGATTTAGATGATTTAATAAAGACAAACTCTTTTTTCATTAGTTATTTCTTTTAGTCCCCTCCTAATTAAAGGGATAATAATTTCACTATCAGAATTACTTTAAAATTCAAAAAAATCCTCCCAACTTCCAAATATATTTTTTTCAATTAAAGGTCCAATAACAAAGCCAAATTGTCAAAACAATTGTTGTCCAATTTCCAAAAATTCAGAGAATTCTGAAAATAAATTAATAGATAAACAAATACAAGCATTATTACAAGTAATTAATTTTAAAATAATTTTTAAAATTAATTTTTAATTTTTAGAATAATAAAAACACATTGTCAAACCTTAATTTCGAAAATGGTGTTAAAATAGAGATTTTAAATTTGGGAATTATTTTGGATAAAAATTATTGTTTATTACAACAAAATTGTCAAAATAATTCTAATAATTTATGTAATACTTTAAATAGTTGTAATTCGAGAATTGGACGTTATAATCTTTATATTCCAATTTCTTCTGATTTAACAACTGCTCCCCTCAGATTAAAAATAAAGTAAATTAATTTTAAATTAAAAATATTTTTTAATGTAAAAAGGGGTTGAATAAAATAGAGATTAGGCCTTATAGTAAAGCAACCGAATCCACCTAAAAAATATAGATAAAACTTTATCCTGAGTGGGGTTACCAAAATGGACCGACTCGGACCGAAAGATCGAGTCGGGCCTAAGATATTTGGCCGAAAAAGACTCGTACAGACCCGACTCGAAAACGGCAACTCTAATCCTGAGCATGGCCTTTGATTGCAGGGGTTACCCGCACAACTTCTCATTTTAGCCTTATCTGATAGGCTGAGAAAGAATTTTGCCTGATTTATTTAATAAAAAATATTTTTTAAATCTTTTTAGTTCTGCCGATCCTTCCCTTTTTGTGGAAAGTTGTGGTTCTCTTTCTGGTTTTCGTTTTAAAGAATGTAATAATTATTTAAATAAAAACGATTTTAATCAAAATGAACAATTAATTGAAGAAGAAGAAGAATTAATTAATGAAGGAGGGAAAAATATAAAATCAAAACCTCGTTCACAAAAAGTTTTTTTAAAGTTAAAAATTATTTTGATTTAATTATTTATAGATTGGAATTAATAATATTTTTGAAATTTCTGCTGGGTCATTTTTGCAAAGTGCTTATAAGTAAATTTTTAATTTTTTAATTAACGAAAATTATTTTTATTGTTCAATAATTTTTGGATTATTTAATTTTGATTAAAAATTTATTTTTTTTAACAAAAACAAATTAAAAAATTAATTTTTCTTCAAATTTAGATTTCGAATTGGGCATTCAACAGGACTTTGTAAAATGGAGGAAAAACAAAAAGGTCGAAGTTTTGACGAATTCAATTTAATTTTCTATAGAGAATGTATTGTTACTACAACAACAACTTCTACTACACTTTTTTAATTAAAATAATTTTTAAAAAATTTAGAATTAATTTAAATTTAGGTATTTAGAATTTTCTTTTAAATTATTATTTTTTTGTTTATAAAAAGAGGAAAAGATTAAATTTAATAATAAATCCCCAAAATTTCTGTTTTTAAAAACTTCAAATTTTCTTATAAAATTCACTGATAATTTTTAAAATTAAATTAATTTTCTCTCCTCTTTTTATTTAATAATTACCACATAATCAGTTATTTTTTTAACTGAGTTTTAAAACAAAATCTGAAAAACATCGCCGAGTCTAATCAACCGAATGAATCTCCTCATTTAATTATTTTCAATTTTCTTTTTCCATTATTTATATATTTTTTAATTAAAAATGAGGACTTTCCCTCTCCCCTCTTTTTTGAAAATGTTTTTTTCCAAAATTTTTTCAAAAAATCCAAAAATTCCCCAAAAATAATCACACTTTCTATTTATTTTTTAAATTCTTTTTTTTGGTGACCAGAAAATTATTATTTGATTTTAAATAAAGTACATAAACCCTTGTATTTAATAATTATAATATTTATTTTTAAATACCCTCTACATTTGAATATTTTAATTTTCTGGTCACTAATCTTTTTAAATAAATTTATTCTTTTTTAACCACAATAAATCGAAAATGAATCGAGCGAAACCCCAATTCCAAGATTTATTCGAGTGTGTTTTTTTTCTTCTTTTTTTCTAATATTTTCTTTTTTATTTTATTTTTAACCTCAAAATTATATATTTAAATTATTTATTTTAATTAATATTTTAATTCTTTCCTTTTTTAATTATTTCTTCCCCCAATTTGGACTGGGTTTTCGCCCCTTCATTTACTTGATTTTGCACTTTTAATGCACAAATAAATATATTTATAGAGATTGAAATTTGTTTTTAAAAATTATTTTAATTCTTTTTTTGTATTTTTCGGTCATTTTTTGTTTTAAGCAAAAATTGTTTTTCAAAATTATTTGTCTAATAAATTTCAATCTTTATATATTCTAATTTTTAAAAGGCCTGTCTGTTCATATTTTTTAATAATATTTTGTTTTATTTCTCCTAATTATTTTTTTAAATATGTTCAAAAATTCTTCAAAAAAATTATTAAATTAACAAATATTTTATTAATATTTTTTAAAATATTTTTTATTTTAAAACAAACAAAGTTGTTTAAAAATTCAAAACCATCGAACTAGTAAATTCAAGTTCTTAAAAAATTAAAATAAGAAAAAATAATTTTTGAACATAAAAAATTAAATTAGGTAATTTAACCTAATTATTTTTAATTCATCCAAAGAATTTTTAACATTTCGAGCAACTTTTTTTAAATTAAAATATTTTTTCTAAATTTACGTGTATATTTAAATTTGCTTTTTTTCCTTCCTTAAATATATAACCACAAATAAAAAATACTCCAAAAATTAAAATATTAATTATTTGATTTGTCGAATAAATTTAAAAATTTATTTTTTTTTGGAATTTAAAAGAAAATAATTATTTTTAAAATTCTCAACTTTTTGTTGAACGAACATATAAAAATAAGGATTCCACCCATTCAATTAAAAAAACTTTTTCCAAATTAATTTTTTAAAGTTATTAACTAACTTTATTGCCAAACACTCCCAGTCTATTCCCATACTTCCATCTCCCATATTTTGATTTTTAAAATTTGACAGGTCCCAATCTCCGATATATTTCCAGACAATAGAATTTAAATGTCTAGAATTATTAATTAGAGAATCAATATATAAATAGAGTAACGTGTAATAAGACGTCTGGTTTTAATTATTTTATTAAATTTTAATTTTGAATATTTTAACAGGAAATTTTTTTTAAGTTCCAAAAAACTTTTTAATTTTTCCAACTTATTTTTGTTTAGATAATCTAATTTATTTTTATTTTAACTCCAAATTATTAAATTAAAACTTTTTAATTTTTAATTAAAAAATTTTATTTAAAATTTAATTCTTGCCCTTCCCACGAGGAGTTGATTGATTTTTTCTTTAAAATTAAAAAAATTCAATAATTTGATTTTTTTATGGGCAGAGAATGTGGGCATTCATTGTATAGGGATAGAGAGGAAAATAAATTTCCCTCTCTCCTTCATTCAATAAAAATTTTTTTTAATTCTTGCTTGCCATCTTACATATTTAATTTAAATAAAATTTAAAAAAAACTTTTAAAATAAATTAAATTCTAAAATAAAAATTAAATTAGGAAAAATTTAACTTTAAAAATATAGGGAAGGAGAGTGAAGGGGAAGCAGGGATTAGTCGCTAATTTAATCTTATTTTAAAAATTTATGCCAAAGTTTTTGTTAAAGAAAAATTTTTGACTTCTTATCCTAAATATATAGGTACCCGACCACATAAGTACCCGAACATCGAGGTACCAGTTCTAAGCCATGAGATATTAGTTATCGGTATAGATGGTAAAATTAGTTGCCAGGGGATAACCGATAAGTAACAAATTTTTAGGACTAAACCTCTTTTAGTTAGGATGAGACATTTCTGTATTTTTTGTGTGATAGAAAAATCTATTATGCCTAAAACTAAATGCCCTATAATTTAGAATTTTTTCTTATCAGAATTTATTATTTTAACAAAAAATTTCTTTTCTACATCCTTTACATTTTTAAGATAACAACCAACAACCTCTTTAAACAAATCAAAAAAACATTTTATTATGCGCCTTTGGCGACTCCTTATTTATTTTACACTTTTAAATGTTTACTTTATTTGTGTTGAAACTTTAAAAGGTAGTAGGGAATATTTGTTTTTAGAATTTTTTGAAATTTTAGTTGATGGCAAGTTTGAAAAACAGAAAATTGATGAAGTGAAACCAAAGGAATTGAAATTGGAAGCAGAAACTAAACGTATGACTTTTAGATGTTCGGTGAACACAGTTATAGTAAAATCCGTGATATTTTTTGGTTTATTGTTGGGCAAAAAATCCGATAATTTATCTTGTCAGAACATAAAAATTAAAATTTTAACACTTCAAGATTAGAATACAAAAAATGACTAAATGTTATCTGTCTATGTATATTAATGTTGCGAATATTCTTTTAACCCCAAGTTATTAGGGAACCAGGGAGGTCCTCAATACATATTTTAAAATGTGGAGGAAGGAAAGCACAATAAAGAGTCCATGTAAAAACTAGGGATTTTGCCGACATAAGAAATAAATTTTTTGATATCCTAATCGGAATGGCAGTATCCCTAGAAAAAAGCATTCCCTAATATTTACAAAAAATTTCAGTTGAACCAAACGTGGATTTAAAATCAAGCACAAACCCAGACGAGAATTTGAATAAAACTTTTAAAAAAATTAAATCATTGTGTGCTCAATCAAAAATTGACAAAAAGCCAATAAAGGGAGAAGGAAAAGGGAAAGGAAAAGGATTTAAAATCCCTAAAAAACTTAAAATGCCAAAATTAAATTTTATGTCGAAAGTTTTAAAAGTTATACCGAAGGAGTATAAAGTAAAACTTGAAAAATGTTGTGGAAAAATAAATGATAATCCAGAATCTTTAGAGGATTGTAGAAGTATTTTTAATGAAGGAATGGAGAAAATTGAAAAGGATAAGACATTTTTAAAATATTCAGGAGAAGGAAAAAATAAAAAAAAGAAATCAAAAACCGAGAAAGCCCTGATGAAAGCAATTGGAATTTATAAAGAACTTAAAACTTATTATAACAAGGATACAAAAAGTCCAGGTAAAATATTTTTATTATAATCTGTTGGCGGAACAATGTGCCTAACCAAGTATCTATGGATCCCGAAAACAAAAGTGTTTGAAACCAAACCACAAACTTGGCAAAAAAAAGTTTTTTAGAAGGAAATATGTCCGAAGGATTATTTCTTGGAAACTAGTAGATACCGTATTTCCTAAAATAAAGCCCCATGCTAAATTAGTGCCCCACCCTAAAATAGAGCCCCACTTTGGAGGATAGTTCAAATTTAGAGCCCCATGCTAAATTAGAGCCCCACTCTAAAATAGAGCCCCACCTCACTTTTTTAAATTTACTTTTATTCCAAATTGGTAAACAAAATTGTTAAGATGTGAGTAAAAGGGGAGAGGGGTTGGATGAGTAAATGGATGTTAGTGAATTTGGGGATTAAAAGGGATATCGAGAGATTAAAATTAAGAGGGTTGGGGGAGCTATTTTGGATTAAGGGACCTTCCCAGAGCAATCCGAAGTTTAGCACAAACTGCCATTCTGAGAAAATCCGGTTAAGGAATTTAAGTGTCCATTCGGGGGATATTGAATGAGGCAAATTTAAATGGATTATAAGTGATATTGTAATATTTTGGTGAGTAAAAGTTGTCAGTCCGAAAAAGGATGTCAGTCAGTCCTAGTGTCTGATTCTGAGGGAAGACGTCTCCCGATCAAAACTCCCCTATATCCCACGCTTGCCTATGTCCTATACTTTGCGGAGTTCACACAAGGACGCTTGTGAAACTCCAATCCAATAACCCCATTTTGAAGGCATTGGGAAACGGGACCAACCGCTTTATTATTATTTATTAAGAGTTTAAGGGGAATAAAGGGATTTGAGGGAATAAAGTATTATTGAACATTAGGGTATTTTAAGGCGAAATTTTTGAGAGCCTTGGAAGGCCAAGGAGTTAGCTTTCTTTATTTTCAACGCCGCAGAAGAAACTTTTGGAAAGATAGACAAAATCTTAAGTCTGCAAAAATTATTGAAAATCGAAAATTTTTCCTAAATTTCGTAAATAAAAAGAATCTATTTTTCATTTTTGTAATTTGAAAAATAGGTTGAAATTTAGAGCCCCATGCTAAATTAGAGCCCCACCCTAAAATAGAGCCCCACTCTGGAGGATAGTTGAAAAATAGAGCCCCATGGGGCTTTATTTTAGGAAATACGGTATGTTAGAAATAGGAAGTCGGAAATCGGAACTAGCCTATATAAACCAAAAAGCGGAAATTAAAAAAATTGAAGTCGGGATTCCGATCCGACATATTGG